TATTATAAATAAATTTAACAAAATCTTAAAGCCAGTCCTTATCATTCATATACTTATCAAGCTTTCCCTTAAACTCACTAAAGTTAACTGCCTCCACAACATCCAAAGGCAACCCATTCCAAAGCCCAACCACCCTGTTAGAAAAATAAAACTGTTTTAGTTGAAGAAGACCCCTACCTTGCCAAAATTTATATTTGTGTCCCATAGTCCTACTATTCTCACTGTTAAGATGAAAAAAAGATGATGCATCAACACTATCAATTCCCTTTACAATCTTAAACACCTCAATTAGATCCCTCCTAACTCTTCTTTTTTTAAACAGAAAACAATTTGAGAGATTTCAGCCTCTCCTCGTATGACAACCTCTTCATTTCAGGCACTATTCTAGGAACCCTTCTCTGAACCCTTTCCAACAATTCAATGTCTTTCCCAAGGTAAGGAGCCGAAGACTGAAAAAAATATTCCAAATGTAGCCTAATCAGTGATCTGTACAATGATGTTATAACCTCTTGAGAGTTGTGGACAATATTTCTGTAGATACAACTTGAATTCCTATTTGCCCTACCACTAACAAGAGTTCGGTATTGTTTACCTGTGATATTGGTAGTAAACAAATGTCGTCAGTATTGAACGTCACTGTGGTTGTTTTTCTTCATATTGTGGAAAAAAAAACCCACCAAACTTCATTATCCTTTAGCTTTTGTGAGTGGTGTATTACAATCGTCTGCTTATTTTGTGAATGGTATTTGTCTTGTTAACGTGTCCAAGTAACTGTGCCATTGGCTTAGAAATCGCTCAATATTTTGTAACGACACTTAGATAGGCTTATGGCTAATCCACAAGAGGCTGTTATAATTGGAAGGTTTCATTTATACGATGGCTCTCCACATGAGTGAAACTTTCGAATGTCATCTTTAATGTCTATCCTTGGTTCATAAAACAATTTGGAGAGATTTGAGCTCTGTAACACCATTCAAAGTAACAATAAAAATGAGATTATGCGAGACCACTACATATAAAACAAATTGAATGAATAAGTATTTGAATTTCAGATCGTAAGACAGATATCTAATTTGGATACCAATAAACCGGAGGGTTTTTTATTTTTGTTTGTAATTAAGCACAAAGCTACACAATGGGCTATCTGTGCTCTGCCCACCACTAGTATCGAAACCCAGATTCTAGCGTTGTAAGTCCGCAGACATACCGCTGTGCTACTGGGGGTAATCATCATTAATTTATAGAGATGATTTACCTTGTCATGTAACATTGTAGCATCACAAGTTTCGATTGTCCTTTAATTGTTCAAAACATGTAATTACTGATGAAGTTTATACAGTATGTAGTTGATATTTTGAACTCACTGTTTTTTTTATAATTTTTTATTCAATGGTTAAAAATTTATAATCTCACACTGGACTAGCATTAGGCTTACAGGAATCTTAACAGGAACTTAAAGTATTTATAAATATATCTTGGTAATATCGGAAAATACAAAAATGTTTTTTTCTTTCCCACAGTCATGTCAATCATTTTTGTAGACTGTTTTGTTTTTTGTTTTTTTTTGGTGGGGGAGGAAATTGTTTGCTTTATTTGACGTAAAGCTACTCGAGGGCTATCTGCGCAAACAGTCCTTAATTTTGAACTAATTGACCAGACAGTTAGCCAACAATAGTGGGATTTGACAGTCACTGGGAGTACGATCATTTTTCTTTTTCTGGCGGTAACGGGGTGCGAATTACACAACCTCGGATCTACAATCCGGCATGCTAACTACTGGGTCTTCTCGACCTTTCTTTTAAAAATTACATATTGGAAAACAGCCTAGAATAAACTTGTAAAAATTAGTATATATATTGTAATTTTTATAGCAATGCACAATAAAATGATTTATCAATTATCAGAGATTGACCTAATAGTTGCATTTATTTCGTGGTTCCCAAACTGGAATCCCCAGACTAAAATGGTGCTGTTACGTGGTATCAGGAGGGCCTCAGCACATGCACAAATATTTTCTTTAAAACTTCATTCACATCGAACGAACCCCCCAGTGGTACAGCGGAATGTCTATGGACTTACAACGCTAGAAATCGGGTTCCAATACCCGTGGTGGGCAGAGCACAGATAGCCCATTGTGTAGCGTTTGTGCTTAACTTCAAACAAACTAGTATTTTCAGCGACAATTTTATTTATTCAATAACTAT